CTCTCTCTCTCTCTCTCTCTCTCTCTCTCTCTCTCTCTCTCTCTCTCCTTGATAGGTCTCTCTATGTAAGCCTCATATCTTAGAACTTGCTTACTTACTATGCAGACCAGGTTGGCCCCAAACTCACAGAGATGCTCATGCCTCTGCCTCCTGAGTGCTGGGATTAAAGAATAGTCTTTACATGATAACAATTAAAGAGAGAATCTTGTGTCTTTTTGCTTGGAAATGCAGGGTCAGAGAAGAACAGAAGAGGTGAGCAGAGAGTCTCAGGGTCTACTGGAGCCTCCACAAAGGCAGGGATGCTGTATTGCTTTACCGGCTAGAGAGCTTGGGCAGGGATGGTGGCAGCTTCACAGTGTTTGGCACATAGCAGTTACCCTATGTGTGACTGCTGGCTTGTTATTGGAGTGAATTTATATTATTGGGGGTCGGGGAGTAGGGAAACCTCAGGATTGCTGAGACCTGGCCTGATATCCAGATCTGTCCAGCCAGAGAGCCTTGAGATAAAAGAAGAAGCCCGTCTTGCTAAGGAAGCACACTGAAGAAGGAAAGGACGATCAGGTGGGAAGGAAGTAACACTCTGCCTGCAGAAACAAAATGCCCCCATTCCACTGTAGATGACTTGCAACCTTTAGACTCCAAGGCTTAGAGGAATCTGCAGGTCTGAGGATGTCTGGGAAAGAACAGAATTTCAGAGCTCTGGACTGGAAGGCTTTAGATATTAGCCAGAGGCCCAGGCAAGGAAAGGTACTGATGGCCCATGGTCCTCCGAAAGCCACATCTGGTCCCTGCAGGCTCCTCTGTTCTCCATCCTCTTCCATATACCTGACACTCACTGGGCTCAGAGCCTGGGAGCCAGAGTGGAAAGCCCAGCTCCTGACAACTACCTCCTGCTACAAGCTGTCAGTCCAGGGCAAGGGACAGACAGATACCCCACACATTCCTCTATATACCTCTCCCCAGATCGAGAACTCACAAAGGATCGCAAGTGGTTATTAACTTGTTACCAACCTCTAAGTGGCCCCTCCAGGATTCCTTCTCCACCCATTTCTCTCCTTAGCTTTTCTCCAGGACATTTGCCTCCCCCATTCTTCCCATCCCCCATTAACCTAGGCTTTCCGGGCTCTGAACCTTGGTGACTTGGCTCCGGTTCCTAGAGGGTCCTTCCCCACGCTCATGTGCCAAGGAAGGACTGGCTGCAGCAGGCAAGCACAGCCCGTTCCATGGGGCAGAAGCCACATTATACCCATAGATCTCGTCTCGGTGTCTTGGCCAGGAGACTGACCAGAGGATGTCCAACAGAAGCGCCCCCGAAGGCTTCCATCCTCCGTCACCACACCAGGCTCCAGTCCTGTCACGTGGCAGGAAATAGTTCTTCCCCTTTATCCTCCTTTCCCCATCACCTCACTGTCAGTTTCTACCAAGCCCTGGGCACACATAGACATCCAACCCACCCTGGGAAATTTCCTGTACTTCCAAAGGAAAGGCTCAGGTTACTGGAAGAGGAGAATGCATCACCAGATTGCAGAACTCTCATCCCTCATCATGGACCCACTACGCCTTTCAGAATTCAGTCGATGTTCTCTTCCCCGTGAATTCTCCCAGGTTCTCTCTCACCACGTGTCACTAACTTAGCTTCTTCCTTCCCAGGCTCTATCTTTTCACCTCAGAAGGCAAGGACAAGTGGAAGGCCCAGATGAAGTATGAGTGAAAGCTACAGAGTGTGAAACAGTCTGGATTTCCATCACTACTGTGCACAGACAGAACCTGAGATTCAGTCCTTCCCCTGAATTCTCTGTGGGCCTTGACACAGAATGAGTGTCACAAACCATTCAGAGTCCTGGTGAATTAAGGTCCTACCTGGGGTAGGGGCGCTGCTTTTCCTGGGACATGAGAGTGTTACTACCCTTTTGAGGGTTGTGAGGCTGGGGTAAGGAATTGTCCTAGATCCCAGAGAGGCAGGACCCGGATGGATCTCTCCGTGTGATAGGCAGGACTAAGCTGAGCATGGATACACATTTGAGAAGATAAGGTATAAAGAAACCGGTGGGGTGCTAATGTTGCAGGGGGTTGGGGGTGAGAGCCCAGGTTGGGGAAGGCCTCTATATCTCAGGGGTGAGGAGCAGAGAGGGGGGCTGAAGGGCCCTAGTTGGCCTAAGCAGAACACCCACCTTTCAGTGCCCAGGCTGCTTCTGAGGAAGAGGAGGGTTGTCTGTGTGACCTCCAGTGTTTGCTGGCACGTGTTCTGAAGCACCTCCCTGTGTGAGGGCAGCCCAAGTCAGAGGCTTGGCACTGTGCACGTAGGCATGGTCTCAGAAAGGGGTAGGAGAGGTCTGGATGGGTATGCTATGCACTCCTCCAGCTCTTCACAGTACTCACAGGACCCAGTGTAACCCTCGAAGCATTAATGCCTGTCCATCCAGCAGAACCCGTGCCAGCCACAGGGCCTGGTAACCAGCGCCCAGAACCCCCTGAAATGTACAGATTGCAGATCAGTCCTTCCTCATGTCAAACCCCCTTCTGCCTCCTGGGGGCGCCCCTCACCTTAGCTGTGCTGTAATCGGCCTGTAGGTCAACCTTAGGGACGAACTTTGGGACATCCAGAGCAGCTGCAGACAAAGACTCTGTCTGAGGGGCCCGCTTCTATTGACTGGGTCAGCTCTTAGGTCATAGATCATCTTTCCTTGACCCCAGTACACAGTCGCCGCTGATCTCCCATTTAAAGCTTCCCAACTCTCGCAGTGCCCAGCGCCTTGCAAGCCTTGACCCTGTGGATCCTCGAAGTCTCAGTTGTTTACTGCCACCTTGTGGCCAAATCTTAGAACTGCACCTTAAGGACCTGCCTCTAAGACTCGAAGTTAAAGCTCCTCTCTTCCTTCATCTCAGAGAAGGACTAAACATGATCCAAACGAGAAGAAATATTTATTCTAGAAATTAAAGAAAATCTAGGTCTCTGTACACCCGCTCTTCTCTCCAGCAGCCTGGACTCGTGCTTCTTCCAATTCAAACTATCTAAGACACCCCCGCCAATGGCATAAAGGCTCCAAATGCCCTGTCTCTGTTGGTGGTTCTGGGGAAACTCAAGGAAGTCTAGTCACCAGCTCAAGTCACACGGCAACACAGAGGCATGCATAGAATTCAAACTCGAATTTGCTCTACTCTGTGGGTCGGAGAAGCACTCACTAAGAAAACAAGTTACGCCTTGGGAGGATGTCCAGAGTATAAAAGATTCAGCCTGAGTGGCCCTACTCACGGTCCCTGAAGGCCAGCCCCTTGGGTGTGTCGCTGGCCATGCTGAACAGAGTCAGAGGGCTGCTGGCAGATGTGTGGGCTATGTGCTGAGCCGAGAGGCTTGGCTCGAGGACACAAGGGTGACCCTCGAAGAGATACTCCTGGTGTTTGGGGGCCACGTTGGTCTGCTCATACACAGCCTCCAAAAAGATGGCAATCCTACACACACGAGAGGAGAGATGTGTCCGGAGGTGTCATGGGAAAGACTCAGGTTTTCTTGGGTAGGGTCTGGGTGGGGGTGTAGTTTTCTTTTTTTAAAATCAAAGATGAAGAGGCAAAGGGGAGGATGTTAGCCAGGATGGGCACCAGCTGACTCTGCAGTCCCCTACACACACAGGACAGACATGAGGACTCTCAGAGCCAGGGCCCAGGCATCTAAAGGGAACTTCCCATGCTTCAGAAGAAAAGCGGAGCCCAGGAGCGTCCCATGAAGAACAGGAAGAGGACTCCAGAGTTTTAATGCCTAAGCTCTGCTTTTGTGCCCAAAGCATCAAAATTCCCCCAACCCCTACAGTGTTCCAGGTGTTGGGGCACATGCCTATAGCTCCAGCTCTCAGGATGCTGAGGCAGGAGGATGGAGAGTTTATCAGCTGGGGCTACCTAGCAAGATCCTGTCTTAAACAGCAAAGAGGTCCTATGAACAATAAATCACAGACCCAGGAAATTGAGCACCCTACCCTGAGACAGACAATGCCGGCTAGCGTTGGAAAGAGTGTGGGATTAGGAACACAAACAAGGAAGTCTGACTTGAATTTGATGGAAACAGAACTTTCCCCAAATGTGTTTTGGGAGATGATTCCTTGGACCACTGCTTAGACAGGTTAGACTCTTATTCCCAATCTCTGTCGCTCCCACTCACGTGTTGTGGGCGTGGATGTAGACATGATGCAAAACCGCCTGGGGCAGGGAGAAGACGTGGATGACAGTTCGCTGCAGGATGTCACTGGTCTCCGCAAAGAACTGATCGAAGCCCCAGCACTTAGCCTGTTCGACTTCCAGGATGTTGGCCAGGATAGGCACCAGTTGGCTCTGCAGCCCCCTACACACAGAAGACTGTCAGAGCAAGCATCCAGATAGAGCTCCCCAGGCTGCAGAAGAAATGAGGAGGGCCCCTGGGGCTCTGCTGAGATAGCCTGGCAGTCTTGACTCAGCAGAGAGAAGTGATCCCTAGTCTAGCTTCTCCAGAGCGCACGCCCCTCCCACTTACATGGACAGTCTGCAGGTGATGGGGAGGCAGTAGCTCCACTCCAGGGGACCATCTTCCTGCCTCTGAGTCCCTGAAATGGCCCCAGCTGGCTTCTCTGTGGTGATTCTATACCTGTAGTGGGGCAGAATCAGGGCTCTAGACTCCCCCATCCGTCCATCATACTTAAACGATAAACTCCAAACAACACAGTCCATATCACTCAGCCACTGTACTGTAGGCTGGAAAATAAAATTGTAGCATCCTGTCCCACCTGTGAGATCACCTCTGTCAAGGCAAGCTCCTTGCTTTAGGCAGACCCCTTCCCACTGTCGCTATGTCTATATCAGGTCCAGCCACCTCCACATCTGGGCCATGCTGAGTCAGCACCGTACATTTTCTCCACTTTTCTAACTGCCCCCACAGTCTATCTTCCCTGGCAGCTTATCCCATTCCACCCCCCACCCTGTTCCTAAACCTAAATAATATTGGCTCCACACAGCTTGCTCCAGGACCGAGGGAGCATACACCAGCCTTCCTGAGGACACACTGATAAGAGAAAGCCCCTGAGGTGTCTTCCACTTATAAGCTGAGAAGGGAGGAGAAGCTAACCATTGGTCAGGTCTGAGGAGCCCAACCAAGAACAATTTCACATTCCTGAGTCTATGCTGAAAGCTTGCTAACCTCCACGGCCACCATGCCCTATAACCCCTGAAGACCATTACCTGCCAACAGTGCGGACACAAGTACTTATGGACTGCCCTGCCACCCTGAAGCCCTCTCCTCTCAACTGTGTGTTACCTACAGCCAATGTAAGCTTCTGCTTTTCTTCCCTAAGATTTAGAATGAGCACTCAGCACTAGGTCCTGTAGATTTTTCTGGCTGCCCTCCAGCTAGAATCTTGGGAATCTGTCCCAAGATTTGCTGCGTCTTTCCTACACAGCATCAATAATAGCTAAGTAGACCCTTGTATTGTAGGGTCCCCCATTTCACTGGTTGGATACTTCATCTCTTTTGTTCTGGGCAGTACATCCTGGCAGCTCCTGTCTTAGGTTCCTCCTAGCGGTCAGTGAGAGACTGACACTAGGAAGATGCTGGACCTGGGTACCAGCTCCACCTTTACCCCTGCAGGCTCTGTATAACCTTGTAGCCTCCTTGGGCCTTAGTGGATACATGGTGAGCTAGGAATGGGGGCAGGGCTAGAGGGAACACTGAAGGTAGGGACTGGGGGTAAGAGATGCCCCAGGGTCCAGTAGAGGGAGGGCTAGGTGTCTGGAAGAAGTTCGGGGCCTGTACCCTTCATTCCCTGTCCCATAGCCCACCGTACATGATCTCCTTGTTTCGCCGGGGCCCACCAAAGGGGATGAAGGGCAGACTACCAGTGGCTGCATGGTACAGGGTCACCCCAATACTCCAGAGATCCACAGTCACCCCGAACGCCTTTTGCTGGGGTTTGCGAAGCACCGCCCGCTCATACATGTCAGGGTGCTGTGGGAGAAAGGCAGAGAGCAGCCTGGAGGGATGGTGTGGGCACTCCTAGGGGACTCTTAGGGAGTCACAGAGCAAGGGGGCTTTAGCTTGAGGCAGAGGGTCTCTAACATGTCACTTACCAGGTACTCCTCAGTACCATAGACAGAAACAAACTTCTCGTCATCGTCCAGCTTCCGGGCAGCCCCGAAGTCAGACAGCTTATAGATGCTCTGCCCCTCCTCGCCCACCAGGCGCATGATGTTCCCAGGCTTGATGTCACGGTGGACAATGCCATTCTCCCGAAGGTGGTTCATGCCAGCCACTGGGGACAGACAGAGCACTAATGGCTTGGCTCAGCTAGGAACGGGTCAGTCTAGAGTTTGTCCTGGTGAAGAGTCTTCCCTTGGGTCCAAATAGACAGAGAGTTGCCAGAAGGCACACAGGGGCACAGGGAAAACTCAAGAACACAGATGCTCCCAGGGACATTCCAAGCTAGAGGGATGGACCGCTGGTTACTGCTGCACTAGCTACTCTTCCAGGTGACCCTGGTTCAATTCTCAACCCACCCCCAGGTCATCTCTCCACTGGAACCCGTTGATCCAGGTGATCGGACGCCCTCTTCTGGCCTCTGCAGGCTCCAGTCACGCACACAGCACACAAACACATGGCAAAAGCACCCATACAAAATGTAAACATAATTTAATAAAATTTTAGGGCAGTGGTGGTAGTGGAGAGATGGTTTTGTTGCGAGCACATGCCACTCTTCCTGAGTTCAGTTTCCCAACTGACCCAAGTTCAGTTTCCAGTACCCGCACGATGGCTCGTAGCCATTTGTAACTCCAGGGCCAGGGCATCTGAAACCTTCTGGCCTCTGAGGTTACCAGGCATACCAGAATATAAGACTCATTTGGATTCTCTGGGGAGGTAAAATATACCTAACGAAATTTATCACTTAAAAAATTGTCTTTGAATGTGTTTTACTACATAGCCCAGGCTGCCCTGGAATTCCTGATCAGCCTGCCTCAGCCTCCCATCCTCGGGTGGGTGGGAGCAAGCCACATGGCCCTTCACTCTGGTGGGTTCTTAAGCACACATCTCAGTGGCTTTCAGCACATTCACACACTATCATGCAAACATCTCCAATGCTCCTAACCAAAAACACTTCTCTTCCCCAGATTAACTGGCACTCCCTACGCTGTGTTTCCAGCCCTGCGCAGCCTTCTCCCTCTGTCTCCAGAAACTCAGCTCCCCCAGGGGCTGTGTTCTAGTGGAAGTGGGGGCTTTGCTTTTCTGCAGCTAGCTTGTCCTTCAGCATAGGGACTGTCAGTTTCCTACATTGCCATGTGTGTTAGAATTCTCTCCTCTGTGCAGTTATACTCCGACACCTACAGGCACCATAATGTATCCTGTTGTTCTGTTTCACCTGTGGATTACTGTGAAGGCTGCTACCTGCCTTCAGCTGTGGCAAACACATCGTTTTAGAATTATCTTAGTACAACTTTGAGCTGAATTAACCACGTGGGTCCTTCTGGCCCATCCCTCTGCCTCAGGCCCACTGGGGTGCCTGTTTCAGAAGATCACACTCATCCTGGACTTTGCCCATGCAGAGGGCCTGGGCCTGGGGGACAGGGCGTGGCTCACCCACACAGCGCAGTACCACCAGGAACTCCTCCTCGGGAAGCCCGAATGTATTCTCAGGGTCTTCCAGCACGCTCAGCAGACTCCCACTGGAGCAGTACTCCATCACTAGCACCTTCTGCCGGCTGCCTCCCTGTGCAGGGGACAGGAGGAGGCTTGGGGAGGGAGGTTCTTCCCACTTCCATCTGTCAGGAGATCCCTTAACGAGAGCCCACAGTGCTCATTCCCGGGTCCCGGCTTCTTGCTTGGCCTTCTTGTCCTGCCTCATACCGATCTCAGACACAGAAAACATTCCAAGGCTACCTTTTCCAAGAAGCTCTCTCTGATTGGGCACCGATTCCCCTTTCCTTTTTCAGCGATTTCCCTGTGGGGTCCCACACCCTTGAGTGTCGCTTCCCTTGCCTGCCCCCCTCGCCCCTCCGCAATGCCTCTGGACTGCTGATGAGCGTAGCTTGCCTCTCCCTGGACTTCGAAGGTCAAGGTCAAGAGCATTCTTCTCTGACCAAGCAGATGACCCACCGTTTCCTCTACTGCGAAGAGCTTCACGATGTTCTGGTGACTCAGCCTCCGCAGGACCTCAAACTCCCTCACTTGTACCTCAGGGGGCCGCCGGTAGCTGGCTGAGTTGAAGACCTTTACAGCAACCACCTCCCCAGATTTCTAGCGGGCAGGCACAGGATCGGAAGTCAGCATGCGGACCACCCCAGCTGGGGCCCTACCCTGGTGGGGAGCTGCAACCTTTCCCTGTCTTTAGCCTCTCCCCTAACCCAGCCCCAGAGGAGAGAAGCAGGGGCTGGTGGGGAGGCTACATTCACAGCCTCTTTCCCGACTCAGGGAGCTCGAGCACCACTTGGAAGTGACATACCTGATGTCCCACAAGGGTCGACTTGCATCCTTGCTCATTTTGTTATAGAAAAGAACTGCCCAGGCAGTCTACCCTGCCTCCAGTTCCTGAGTTCGAGTGAGTCTGACATAGCTCTGCACCCAGTATAGGACAAACCTAAACACGCCCAAACTCACAGCCCTGCTGTTCCTAGATGGAACTTGCTGTCACCTCCTCTCCTGCCTTGTTCTCTAGTCCCAACATGTCTCTGACAGAGGCACCATTCCAAGGAATTTTTCCAGCATCCCACATCTCAGACCAAACCTATGGAGTCCTTTCTCATCGGAATGGACAGAAATAAGAATCCTGGGACCCTGTCCAGCTCCATAGACTCTTAATGCCTAGCTCCAGGGCATGAAAGGGTCTGGGGCTAGAGTTGCTATTACCTTGTTTCGGGCCTTGTACACACTGGCAGTGGCCCCCTGCCCTAGCAGGTCATCAGTATGCCACAGGTAGTTAGTGGTACTCTGCATCTCCTGGGCTCAGCTACCTTCCACCTGGGAAAACAAAACAATCAACCATGTGGGAGATCCCGAGGTCCCATGCCTAACCTGCAGTAGACACTGGTAACCAGCAAAGACCATCCTGTAAATGGCTCCCAAGACCATCCCATAAACTGTTCCACAAAGCCACAGTACAGACAAGGGAGCTGGGGAAGTGGTGGCACAGGAAGGTTAAGTAACTCCCCCCATCCCCCCGCAAGAAGCAAAACAGCAGCAGGGGGATCTACTGGGCCCCAAACTTGTATCTATTCTACCCTTGGGGACTTCTCTTTGTCCTATGCCCCAGGTCCCTCCCAGAACCCTTCAGAGGGTAGGCCAGTTTACAAATGTTTCTCTGTCTCCTCTTTCAGGCACTGGGGACTCAGAGTTTCTGCATCCAGGCCTGGGATTGTCCCAGGAAGCAGACACAGTGTGGGAGGAAGGGCCCTGGGTCGGCAAGGGTCAGGCAGAGACAGTCACACCACCACAAATCTCCAGGATTGCAACATGAGCCTGGAGCCCCGCCCCCTTCTCTGCTTTTGTGGTCCCTGACTTCCTACTGCGGGGAGCTAACCGCTGCTCACCAGGCCACCAGGCCTGCAGGTCTTGCTCAGGGTTTTACTAGAGGGAGCGGGGCTGCATGGGAGACGGTCAAGGAGGAAGGATGGGAGGGGAAGGAAGGGGTAGATGATGTGGGAGAGCGTGGGAGGATCTAAGACCATCAAACCCAAGGGCTCGAGAGAGCTCCGGGGAAGATCTGAAACCCTCCACAACTCTGTTCCCACTAGTGTACCACTGTTGCCTATCACTTTGGTGCTGGGGACTGAACCCTTGGCTTCATTGCATGCTAGGCATACCCTTTACAAACCGAGTGAGCGATATCCAGGTTGTAGTCTAATTTAAAAATGCAGGGGCAGAGATGCAGGGGCTGGGGTGTGAAGTGGGGGTGAGGGAGTGGGTGGGGAGCACCCCCTCAGAGGCAAAGGGAAGAGGGATGGGATGAAGGACTCTTGGAGGGGGTACCAGGGAGGAGGGACCGGGGAGGGGGTACTGGGAGGCGGCAGCATTTGGAATGTAAATAAATAAACAATAAAACCGCAAGTTTTGGGGCTGGAGAGATGGCTCAGTGGTTAAGAGCACCAACTGTTCTTCCAGAGGTCCTGAGTTCAATTCCCAGCAACTACATGGTGGCACACAACCATCTGTGATAGGATCCAATGCCCTCTTCTGGCTACAGTGTGTGTACTCATACAAATAAAGATAAATAAGTCTTTAAAAAAAAAACACGCAAGCTTTGGAGGCTGTAAGCTTTTGAGCCAGAAGCCGCTTGAAGAGATCAGTAGTCACACCCTAGTTTCAGACAACGAACTCCTGTTTGTGTTATGCAGAGGTAAGGGCGCTGATGAGATCTTCTGAAGGCAGTGTGAACGAGTTGCCCACGCTTCTCTGTGTGGCTGAGTCATCAGCCTAATGCGAGGCTCAGACAGGGTATACTGCAAGTGGAGGCCAAGGCTGCAGCCTTGGGAGCTGGGGGCAGCAGACTGGGTCATCTTCATAACTCTACCTAGACTGGTCCTCAACCAAGCCCTGAGCTCAGGCAAAGCATAGCAGGAGTCAGGAAGACGGGCAGTGAGGTGCACAGAACAGAGTCCCAGAGGGGCAGCACAGCCCTGGGTTCTGTGCCTAGAAGCCCTGACTATGGCACATCTGGATCACCTCTGTATTACCTCCCCACTACCCTCAAGCTCCTTCTGTACATAGAAGGTGCAGTACAACAGCCTTCAGTGAGTCGATGCCAGCCTGCCCAAAGACTCCTATCCTCCTTGGGGGCTCCTCTGTGGCAGATGTACATACCTGCATTCCAAGTGGCCCAGAATCAGGCAAAGACTCTCCCTTGTAAGTGTGTGTTATGCTTTCTGTCTGGGGCAAGTCCAGGAGCAGAGCTACACCGGAAAGAGAAGGGTGGGTGGATGAGAGGCCCCTTTGTGCTGTGCCGTTTGATTCTCAGCCCGTCAAAAGCCACCAGTCCCAGCCCTTTAACCTGTTCCTGTTGTCACCTTCCCCACAGTTCTTGGGGAGGGTGGGGGTGGGCTCTAGCCTCTTTCCAGATGTTTCCAGCTCTGGGAGCCTCTCCTGGTTATTTGGGCCTCAGGGAAGAGGTCCCAAGCAGAGACCAGTAGAGGCACCCAGAGCTGAACCCAGCGTTGCATCAGCATATTGAGAAGCAGAGCCCAGTGGTTCTCCTCCGGGCCATAATCTTCACCGACCCTCAAAGGCCTCCAAGCAGTCCTTTCTGAGAGTGTTTTCCCACAGAGGGAGTGCAGCCCACCACCAGGCTCCCAGCAGCCACAGGAAAGACACAGGGAGCCGGCATTCAAGCTAGGTGTTGACTTGAAGCTGCCCCAGGTGGCTTTCCCATGCCACCCTCCTCCAGAGACGCTACACACTCACCCCATCTCCCATCTCAGCTGCAGAGGAATGCAGACTTGTGGGACTGGGTGGGACCCCCAGGGATTTAGGCCTTGAAGTCAATCCTGGGCAGTGCCTAGAAGATCCTGGTAGCTATGGGCCCCCAGGATCCACAGGCAAAGCAGGTGATGGTCTTGAGCCTGAAGATTTCTTTCTTGCCTCTCTGGTAGCAGTGGGATACCCGGCCCCAGACACTTAGCTCTATCATACTTCCTGATTCACTTCTCTCTCTCTTTCTCTCCTTCTCCCCTCCTCTTTCCCTCCCTTCCTCTATCTCTTAAAGGGACAGGCATCTCAGCGGCTGCCACACACACCTCCACCCCCTCATCAGAAAAGGGAAAGAGGATCCTGTAAGTTGTCAAGTGGAAGCCATAGGGCCATTGCTTGAGCCACAAAGAAGCCCAGAACTGAGGCTGGGCCTCTGTGACAGACCACTGAGTACTATGCTGGCATCTCTGGAGGGAAATTCAAAGCTCTGCTTAAAGTCAACTAAAGAGGCCCAACAAGTTAATCACGTTGAAAACTCCCTAGAAAGGCTCAGGACCTGTGCTTGGTTGGCCCTCCTAGAAGCTGGACAGGACTTGTCTTCCTTTAGAGCTTGAAAGAACAAGTACACACCCAGATCATAGTCCCTACTCTGACCTTACACACAGCAAAACCTGCCCCAACCTGGGGCTGCTTTCTGACCACAGCCTGAAGGCACTGTGTGCTTTAGGTAGTTTGGATGGCAGGGGATGGAGTATCTGGTAAACTTTGGGAATCTGGAAAGTGTTTTTTTCAGACCACATTTGAATAATTTTCCCAACTTCCCAGCCATAAACCAGTACCCCAAATATCCCGGGAAGTGGAGAAGGGGTCTACGCTGCTCTGGTCAGCTCTGAGTGGGCAGTTGGATAAGGGGTTAAAAACCAGGAAATTCCTTGTTTCACTTGAATGTTGGTGGGACTTTCCCCTGGCCACACCTGGTGATTTCCTCTGTCGGCCCCACCCCATCACAGGGAGGAGAGGCAAGAACAGGCCCGGAGCTTGTTGCTGACAGATCCACCCGATGATAACACGACAGCTAGAGCCCTTGCAGTGGCTTATCACAGTGAGACCAGAAGGGGCATCCCTGAGGGTTCCAAATGCCAGCCTGTGTGTGACAGGTTTTTACCTGGCAAGAACATGGGAGGTTGCACTTGTCGATCACCTAGGGCTTAGAGAGGACAGAGCATGCACTTTCTCTAGCATAGTATTTAACTGGTGCTGTAAGATCCCCTTCTCTAAGGTCTCTGACCCTCTAGCAGGTGAACCTGTTCACCATGGCTACCCCATCAGTCTAGAAAAAGTCACTTGGGTCACCTTCATGGTCAGAGTACCCCTGGGACCCACGAGGGGTACTGTTTTTGCCCACTGAGGTATCTGTAGTATCACATGACTATCCCGCAGGCCATACCCAGGCTCCCATGAACCTGCACTCTTACCCTCCTTTCACTGGCAAGCCTATTCTCTTTTTTCTCCAGGAATATTCACACCTTCTAACACAAGAGCCAAGCCTAGCATCTCCTGTGAAGTAGGCACCGTGTGCTTAGGACAGAAAAAAATGGAGACATGGGTTTCTTACCCCAGAGACGTGGGATGCTAGACAACGTGAGACGAATGTACGGCAACGCATACTGAGCAAACAGCGGTTGTGTGGACCTTGTAGGGCGGCAGGAAGGGCTTGCCAGTCTTGCTGGGGGCTCTGAGTTAGGCAGAGCAGGGACTAGTTCAAGCATAGGAAGCAGGGTCAGAGGTGCACAGAGCATGAATTGTTCGGGCTTTGTATCTGGGACACTAGGGAGAGCCAGCAAGGTGACACTGTGCTGGTAATAGATGGTACTTCACCTGTAGACTCTGGGAGGAAACATCCTTGGTGTGGTCAAGATATAGGACTGCCTCCCTGTGTCCCAGCTTGGGCGGGGAGGCTCAGAAGCCTGGAGGGAAGAGGATGTTTGTAACAGTCCTTGCCACATCTTCCCAGGGTCCAAGGAATCATAGAAATAGTGGTAATTCAAAGATAGCACAGGGACCAGAGGCAAGTTTGTGGGGTGTGTGTATGTGATATTCTGTAAGTGTATGTATGAGTGTATGTGTGTGAGTGTGTATGGGTATATGTGTGTGACTGTGTATAGGTGTATGTAGGTGTGTGTATGTGTATGTAAGTGTATATGTGTGTATATGTGACCATGTGTATGTTGTGTGTGTGTATGTGAGACACTGTGTGTGTGTGTGTGTGTGTGTGTAATGAGATGGCAACCTGGAGAAAATAACCTCACTCCTGCTATCTACTGATGGAGGCTGGTGTGGGGAAAGGCTGCTACATGTCGTTAAGGTCACCTCCTAAACAGTACTTAAGTCATCTAACCTTTTTTATAGGATTGGTATAAAACAAAGAGATGGCACATCTGGTATCCAGTGGGTCCTGAATAGATATAATTTTGGGCACATTGGCATGTATCTGTGGTCCCAGCTTCTAGGAAGACTATGGATGGAGGCTCACTAGAGTCTAGGAATTGAGGGTCAGCCTGAACTGTAAAAGTAACTTTTATTTGCCTAAGTTGTCACCTCCAAGACTTACATCCTCTGCTAACCCAGACCTAGTCCTGGAAGCTTCTAGCCTCTGTACAATCTTAGGCCTAAAATGTTTTCAGCCTCAGAGGCTTACTGCTGAATAAGCTCACCCTTTCTAGTTCTTTCTGAGCTTTGGTTGGCTGGTTCAACTCAGCTGTTCTGGCTCAAACTCCTTTACAAGCTGACTGATTCAGTCTCCTCAGCTTCTGATTGAATCACTCTGTCTGGCCTCAAACTAACTGACAATCTGTTCTAATCTTCTGGCTCCTTCCCATTCTCTGGTGTGTTCTGTCTTTACCTGTCTAGCTTGTTCTCTCTTTGCAAACTGTCTCTGTACAACTGTCCCAGTAAAATTGCCATCTCTGCACTGCTCTCTTAAATAGATTACCTTTCCTTCGTCTTCTCATGAGAGGTGGGTATATCCTATTCTATCAAATCTTTCTCTGATTCATCACTTTGTCTGCCACTCAAATAGACATCACTTTCAAACATGGGTGTTTCCGTCTATAAACTAATTTTACCTTCATTTGTTTGGGATAAAAGGTGTGTACTAAGGACGCATCTATATTCCAGCAAGAGGGATTAAAAGTGGGTGTTAAGGGATGCACCACAACTAGAAACAGTTTTTTTCAGTAAATAACAGACTTGGGGATCACAGTGTGATCAAATATCTTGTAACACTGAACAGGGCAACAGAGCTAGAGCCTGTAAGCCCAGTAGCTGGGGGTGTTACTCAGTAGCTCTGCTCAGTATTCATGAGGCTGAATTCCATACGCAGTAGTAGGTAGCTACAGCGCCCTCTCCACCCTCACATACTGTTTTCCAGTGCCTTAAAAGTAAGAAAGGTCTCAGACAAACAAATGAAAGAAAGAATGGGGCAGGGTGGTATGTGTGGGCCTTGTTTATAGGGCTGTGTATACTGGCTGTACTTAGTCATAGTGGCTAAATGACAAAACCTTAGAACCTATTCTTTTTTTTTGAGACAGGGTTTCTCTGTGTAGCCCTAGCTGTCCTGGAACTCACTCTGGCTGGCTCTGAACTCAGAAATCCATCTGCCTCTGCCTCCCAAGTGCTGGGATTAAAGATATGGACCTCCACTGCCTGGCACCCCCAACACCTTCATAAGTCAACTATAGTTCTTCCCAAACAGTGGGAAGGGGGCCGTGGGTGTATTATCCAGGCCCCAAGGGACCTGGTCCCTGTGCAGTTATCAGTTGTCATTCCTAATCTGGAAACGTGCTTCTTCCTTCCCACACTCTGCTTAAGACCCTGCCTTCAATGTAGCAGAACTAAAACAAGCAATTGAAAGTGAACCCATTCCTCAACAGCCGTAGCCTGTCTGTACCTACCCTAATATCTGTTGTTACTCTCAAAGACAGTACCATGTATCCCTTCTGCTGGCACCACCACCTCCACTTGGGCTGTGCAACTCATCTGTTCCCCATGCACCTTCTTTCTTCTGGGTCTGTACTCAGAGCAAATGTGTCTTAAATCTGTCTATCTACAGAACAAACACTGGTTTTTGACCAGTCTGGATGGGTGGTGGATCTTTCTTTCTTTGCTGCTTAGTCTACTTCAGTGAGATTAATTTATAATCTACTGAAAAATACTTCTCTCTCTCACTCTGTTTTTAGAGACAGGGTCTATGTACCAAGAAGTCCCATTCCCCTCTCCTCCTTTTGTAGTGTTTTGAGTCAGGACTCTCTGTACAGTCCCGGCTGTCCTGGAACTTGCAATGTAGACCAGGATGGCCATGAACTCAGAGATCCTCCTATCTGCCTCCTAAGTTTATATTAAACGCATGCCCCGTCACGCCCAGCAGAAGTGCTTACTTTTGACACCAGTTTCATCTTATTCCTCGGCACATCCAGCAGTTGATCCCTACTTCTGTCAAATACTCCCCTTTCCCGGATTCTGTGGCAGGTGTGTTAAAAATCAGGCTCTCCCCTAGCCTGCTTTCAGGGGCTCAGTCTCAGCAGCTTCTATCATCACCTAGGTCCCCGTCAGCACAGACCTCTTGCTCTCTGTCCTTGTGGAGATGGCCTTTTGCTCCCCCAGCCCCAATACATCCCTTGTGTAAGATGTATTGCATGGTGTGATCTCTGTGGCATACCCTATCCCCTACCTACTTATCAGGCACTCTGCTGCTAAATTCTAACAATGAGCTCTTCTGCCACCTAGGTACTGGGCTTACTCCATCTTTTTCTGCCAGCTCCTCCTTTATGAGATTTTCCTTTTCCATCTACACATCATTTCAGGAATCCATTTCATGCCTCCAAACTCCAGACTCATACATCTACTGTCTGCTATTCCCACTTGGGAGTCTTTTGGTTATCTCAGCACACCCTCCCTAAGCAGAAATTAAAAATTTCCATGTTTGATTTCACACCACCATGGCCTCCTCCCTCTTTTAAAACATGGAGTAATTGCTAAAGTTGGCCTCAAGCTGTGATCCTCAGCTAATGAATATCTGGGACTACGGGCACAAGCTATCACACAGCTCCATGATGGTTCTTGTCCAACCCAGCATCTTGTTCCATTTTCACATTCACTTATTTCGCTTTGTGTGCTAGCTTGTGTGGAAACAAACTTGACAGGCTGTCTTTCCTGCCCAATGCAATGCTTGATAGATAAAGTCGGTTGATTGACTAAATGATTCTT